TATCCCTGAAACCATTACAGCTACCCAGGTAGCCAGACTGACGAATGTGACGTCTATAGGACCGCTATCTAAGGTCTTTTTTGGTCTCATACGTCTTTTGACCAAATTATGACGTCATGCGGACGTCATTGATGTGACGTCTTATGGACAGCCACTGTTTGACGTCGTATAGACGTCAATCTATGGTCTTAATATTTTTTATCATTTTTATTATCATTATTATTATTATTATTATAATTATTATTAGTATCATTATTATTATCATTATTATCATTATTATGTATGTATAGGAAAACGAAGTTATGAAATAAATCGATTAATCAATCCAAATAACTGTATAAATGTATAATAAAAATGTATTTTATTCCATAGGCTTCCCTTGATTTTCAATGTTTAAATTTAGCGCCAAAGACAATTCTCACATTACCGACCAGATGGCCAATGGCGATCAAGTAATTACGCGAAGAGATTGTGTATGCGACTCGCGACCATCTCGCGACTGCCGTTAGTGGCGTTAGTGCCGTTCAGCGGTCCGGTCTGTGGTTCAGCGTCAAGCTTGCATCGTGCATGGTGCGTTACCGTTCACGATCACGTTCATCGTCCATGTCCGAATGGGTGTTGTTTGTGAACGGCGTCTGTGCCATTGGATTTGTTAAGAATGTTAAAATGTTGAGTGTTTGAGTGGTATTTCTATACAGTCTGTTTTTCACGTGAAAGTATTCAGGATGTATTGTGTAATACAATTTGATGACAGTGGGAGCAACAGTGTAGCTGTTGTTCACGAAACTTGGCTGACGCCGTTGAAAAAGGAAGTGTTTTGGTTTTGGCCGCCATTTAAAGACAGCAAAACATACAAAAGAGCTCTCTGTGAAGGGGCAGCCATCGACACAGAAATTTTCAACTATATGTAATACCTTACATTACTATCTTGTTAATAAAATCTTCATTCGTAGCAAATTTATTTTATAGCACAAATGATTACCTTCCTCACCAGATTATAACCAATAACCCCAAAATTTTATAAAAAAAACAGACGTCTTATTGACGTCGGAAATTGGTCAGTAGTGTCAGTTTAAGGTCCAATTTGAAAACACATACTGACGTCTAAAAGACTTTCAAATATGACGTCATTTGGATGTGTCTTACTTACGTCATTTGGACGTCGCATTTGTTGAAATAAAGACGTCTTTTGGCCGAATGTGATGCCGTCAATTAGACGTCATATAGTCGTCATGTGCTACCTGGGTAGACCCCAAGTGTGATGCATTGATGAAATCAGATTTTCGGGGAGAATCTAAAAATGCAATAAGATACAAGGTGTTCCATTTGAAATAACAAAGTTGTTGCTTCTTTTCGTTAGTAGCGGCAACGCCGCAGGGCTGATGATATTGTAGGACGATGTCCCCCTCGAAAATGTAGTTGACGTGTTTCAGATTCTTTCCATAATCCGGGTTTGGCAACCTACAGAGCCTCTGTTTCGTTTTCAAAGGCCCACTCTGTACATATAGAGTGAGTACTATACAATAACTAGCTAAACTAAAAATAAATAGATGAATTCTCTGACATAACACTAATATATAGTATATTTAGTGTCAACTATACAATAATAAAATGATTAGGTATATATTTGAGTTATATATACATATTATCTATATATAATAAGGGTATCACAGCAAATTTGTAGAAAAAGTCCTATCAGAAATAAAATATTTTCTTGGAAAATGTATCTATCTTGCCTGATTTTATCTTGATAAATTTATCTTGCCTTAATAAATTGATGAATTCATCCAACTGGTTTTGACGCTCAAAATTTTGATGTATCAGTCCAGAAGTTGACCATACCCAAACCTTCCTATCTAGTTTATTGCTCATATCAATACTGAACAAATCTTTCAGGTCAGTGGCCATGATTGACAAACCAAATTTTCTAGATAATTTATTCTTTGTCCACTCCCATACCTCTCTAGCTGTTCCACACATTGTTAGTCTATGCGATATGTTATCAGTTACATTACATTTAATGCCATCTTCGCTCATTCTTAACCCATGTGCTTTGAGTTTTTCGCTTACTGGATAAATTTCATTTATAGCTTTATATACAGCAGACACCCATTTTGTTGAGATATCTGAATTTCCCAAAATATTTGACCAGATGCGAGTCCAATTATATTGCGGCCATTTGATCTCTATCGTAGAAGTCTTTATCATTTCTTCCATGACTGTTCGATAAATTGTTTTCGCTGTATCTTTGGAAAATTGAAAATCAAACTCTCTTATATTCTTCGCCATATTTTTAATCAATGGGTGCACTTCATTATGATTATCCTCGAAAATATTATTGATTAATGATTTATAGACTATTTTGTTCTCAACATTCGTCCAAGATAAAGCTTGTGTTTTCAGAAAGACTGCCAATGCTTTTTTCTCGATATTTATTGAGTTTAACCCTCCTTTATTATAAGGTGAGTATAACTGTCCTCTAGATACCCTGTACAAATTTCCCTGTATTTTCTAGGTAGTGGTATAACCTGTGCCAGAAACCAGACTTTTGACAATACATATATATTAACAAACCAGACTTTTCTGATCAAATCTAGTTACCTGACATGACTAAACATTAATGTAAGGTTGACGTTTTGAATCACCTTTTGCCAGTTCGCGTTCACCATATCTCTAAAGTTATTTGAGACAATCAACCCCAAGATTTTTATTTTCTTTTTTATAGGAAGATTACTGATGAAACTCTGTTGTATTGTCGTCATTTTTCCAAGTGGTATAATTGCCGATTTATCAAAATTTATTTTCGCATTAGCACCTTTTTCATAAATTTTCATTATTCTATCTATATCTATATATATAAGGTCACGTCATCCGCATAAGATGAAATTTTTCTTACAGTTCCGTTAATGTTGATACCTTTCAGAACAAAATCAGCTAGTCTTATGAAAGGTTCTATTGATATACTAAATAGTGTCATTGACATTGGGCAGCCTTGTCTGATCGAGCTATTGATATTGAAACCATTTGACAAAAAACCATCGAGTGAAATTTTTGAATTGGCAGTCTTATATAAATTCCTGAAAAAAGTTATTATTTTATCATTGAATCCTATTGCCTTCATTACTGCCCATAAGTAATTATGGTTTACCCTGTCAAAAGCTTGTTCGAAATCAAGAGACAAAATTGCACCTGACTTTCGTTTTTCTTTCTCAAAGAAGAGTACTGTATCACGGGTTTGCATTAAGTTATTAAATATAGATGTATTGTTGCCAGCTGTTTGTTCTGATCCAAAAATCGTCCTGCTACTGATATTATTTTTTTTTTTATCGCTTGGAGCGCACGAAAGGGAATTCCTATAATGTTCAAAGAACATCAAATCGAGATGCCATAATTTTCATGAGCAGTTTGTAATCAGAGTTGAGGAGTGTAATTGGTCTAAAATCTGTCAATTCTTTCGCGTTTTCCACCTTTGGTATGAGCGTTATAACTGCCTCCGCAAATTCTTTCGGGGGCAATGAGAGACCAGACAGAAGCGAATTGAAGAGTTTTGTCAGGTCCGAGCCTATCTCGTCAAAGAATATTATCTAAAATTCGTATGAGAGTCCATCTATACCTGGTGTTTTTTTCTTAGAAGCCTCCAGAAGCACTGTCTTGAGTTCTTCTAAGCTTATCTCATTTTCTAATCTTACATTGTCGTGTGCTGGAATTTTGTTTTTAATATATGCTAGCAGGCATCTTATATCTCTATCGTTGACTTGTGATTCTTGAAATTTTTTTGCCTAATAATTATTGGCATGTCTGATCATTTCCTTCGAGTTTGTGAGCAGGTTGCCATTTTCTGTTTTCAAAGATGAAATAATTGAATTTTTGTTTTTTCTTTGTTTCATAATGTCGTATAAAGTATATCTATCATTCACTTCGCTATTGATTTTGTTATTGTACCTAGCATTCAGTTGTTTCTGTTTGAGATGCAGTATTGTGTTTTTAATCTCTCTGTATTCATTTATCACATTTTACCCTTTACTTAATTTCCCGTTTGTTTCAAATAACGCTTCTTGGTAGAATTCTATCAAATTCCTACTCTCTATAGCTTCATTGATTTCGATGTGTTTGAAAAAAGCCCTAGCTCTCTTTTTGAAAACGTCAAACCACCAGCCATTTAAATTTACGTTATATTTTTTAATATTCTTGAGATATCTGATTTCTTTTTTGAAATTTTCAATATTCTCGGAAAAACAAGAACGTTTTATTTTCCGAAAACCCCATCCGTGATTTGTGACGTGTTCTTTATCATTTGGATTTAACTTGAAGTTTACAATGACCGAATTATGATCAGAGAAGGCTACTGGTTTTATTTCACATCTGTGAATTAAGCTTTTATTTTCTTGGGTGATATATATTCTATCTATCCTAGATGCAGTATTTTCTCTAACATAGGTATACTCGATTTTATTCTTTTGTATCAAATTCCATGTATCTGTCAATCTACGCCCTTGCACTAAGTTTAGCAAAGTTTTACATATATTCGTTTGGTTACGTGCCTGATTTTTGTGTATTACAGCATTGAAATCACCTAGTAAGAACATGGGAAGATTACAATTCAAGTGCATGGTGATATCGTTTTGAAAAAAGTTTTTTCTCTCATTATAGTTTTGTGATCTAGATGGCGCATAAACATTTATATATCTAATATCTTTTATATCAAAACCGTTTCTGTAAATTTTGCCTGTTCCTCTTTGTGAATTCCCTACATTATTCAGCATTGAATATCCAAATATATTATTCAAGACTTCCGTATTCAATTCTTGAACGAAAAGGAGTCTTTCCCATTTTTCTTCATGAAATCATACATGATGGTAGCTATAGTTTGTAAATGTGACATGATATATAATCGCAAAAAGAATTAATATGTTGATATATATATCATCAATCTGTAAAGCCAGATCGAAAAAAGAACATATATGGAATATTCAAAATACAGTTAGTCCCTAAACACTCACTCAGAAAAATGGATCTTTTTTCCATGACCTTTCGCCTATATCAATATTTCCAAAATTTCCTTCATGTGGTTTCTCGTTACCATTTGAGCTCCTTCCGGCTTTAGGTGGAAGTTTGATGGTCAGTTTTGGTACCTTTCTCTCTTCTTCAGAACTCGTTTCCATTTCCTCTCGCTTCTTTTTCTTCAGTCCAGTATTTTTCGTTTTAACTTCTTGCCACTTTGGTGTAGGTGAAATGATATCACCAATAGTCTCACTTTCTAACTCTGAATCCAAACTTTCTCCACTTTTTTCCTTTTCCTCCTCCTCATGATGCACTTCTTCATTGTTTACTATCACTTCTATATCTTGTGAAAGCTGCGTTCCCGGAATTTCTTACTGAGAGTTCGTACTTTCCTGCTGTAATATTTCATTACTGATCATTGGCACTACTGGAGCACTTGGTCTTCTTATTTCATTAATCCTATTTGTTATTCGTCTCGGACAGTCTTTTCTTTCATGACCAGGTTCTTCACATATCATACAGGTACGCACCTGATTGGCATATGTTATCAGAGAGGTACACCCCTCTATGGTAATATACGATGGAATTGGTTTTTTCATTGATATCCACATCGATCGAATTCCGGTTTCCACATTGAATAGACCTTCTTCAGCATATTTTTCTTTTCTCATACTCCTCACAACTCCGTACTGTGACATTTTCTCCTTGATTTTATTATTTTCGAGTTCCAAAGGGAAGTCGAAAATTTTTATGAGTATATCATCGGTATCTTCGGTTATGTAGACATCAAACTCTTCTCCATCTTCTACGTATTTAACAATACCATCATTGAACTTTTGTAGGATTGCCTGCATCTGCCAATTGGATACCAGCTTCAGGAAAATTTTGTGCTTGACATGATCGAACTGGATTCCCACTATTTGATCCACCGTACATTTGAGCACATTTTTAATCCACATATGCAGATTTGTATTCGATGGTTTCTTCCTAACATTTTTAAAATTCAATGTTAGCGTGTTGACTCTTCTAATCACCATGATGATTCACTTATGATTCACTTTCTTTCCGCTCTTATCGCTTAATACACGTCTGTACCCAACGATGTCTTATGCGTGACTGTTTTCATAAGCACATTAGAGATAATATCATGAGAGTAAAAAATGGCAAAATGAATGTATCAAATCAAAAACTTATATAAAAAATATATACCGATTCATCCACAGAATTCAAAAGGAAGCAGTCAGAAATAAAGTGTGATTAGTAATTTCTGGGCCGCTTTCCGAAACCGCATAGTACTATGAGTTGGGGGGGAAGGGTTGTGAAATTTCCTTATATGTTATTAAATTGACCGCACATACTTATAACGGGCTGAATATTATGGATTATTCAATATGGAACTCAAAAACCTATAAAAAATAATACTATTCTGCACATTTTTTCTTTACGAATGTGTTGATAGGTAGTTGGCGGCCTTGATTCCTAGCAGAGCCAATTAGACTTCAGGTCACTGGAAGTCATGATGATGAAGTAACGGCTTGAAGGAGTTCGAGGATGGAAGTTCAGGAACTCTCCTCTCTGCTTGGATCCAGCGGTGATCATCAATATGCGCGAGGATGACCTCAGAGGGGCCACGAGGGGGCCAAACACGACGGCGAACGGCATCGGAATGAAAAGGGGTACTTAAACCAAATACGTATACTCAAAAAACCCTATAACAATTGCAGGAGTTAGTCGAGTGTCTGGAATCATCACGTGGCGAACCTAGGAGTTAAAAAACGAACTCACTTTTTCAATAAAAAAGGGTAAAATTACCACAACAGCGTGGTCTGCTGCTCGGAAGTCCCAAAATCTCAGAAATTTGTTCCTTCAGGAATAAAGACGTTCTCTCTGGTGATGAGGATGGTTGGACCAGGTAGAAATCCTGGAAGATCCAGCAACAAAAATTGGATCCACCAATGGGGCACTCGGACCGTCTCACCTCGAACAGAGCTCACCGAGAAGTGTACAACTTTCCAACCTTCTTTCTCGAAAAAGAAGTAGTCCTCATAGAACTCATGGAATTTAACAAATTTGAAAGATGGACCAATCGGCATCGACCAAACTGCATGAAACTTGGCAACAGTGGCAGATGAAAAATCTGACAACTCCTAATTTGTGCCTTCGACAGATAAGTGACAACCTTGACAAATCCCCGACAATTGACATTATTGACAATGAATGACATTTTACCTTGTCATCCATCTCTTTGACATCAAAACAGAACAAAAATAAAAAATATTTCTTCTTTTCCATTTCAAGGAAAATCCACTGTATAGAATTCAGATCAACAAAATAATCCCAAAACTTCCAAGAGTAACATTATTTCCACCTAGATGCACAACCAAATTTGTAACATAACCTGCCTCAGCTGTTGACTGTCTTCACTGCCAAACAAAACAAGGGATGATGTATTCACCGAAAAAACTTCTACCAGAGTTGAATGGTAGCTATCTCAGAAAAACAGGGAATAAAATACATTTGTGAGTACAACTTATACTGATAACTTGACTAACACCAAAAATAATCATTCCTCTTTATTTTAGGTGAGCTGTACCTGGTGCTGTTCTTCGAGCTGTTCTTGGAACTTTTCTTGGAGCTGTTGCCGAATGACGACCCATCCACTGGTTAATTGATTACCATTGTCTTGTTATGAGTGTTGTGATATTCTGTTAGTTGTAACTTATAGAGTGGTTGGCAGAAATAAAAGAAAGTATACCCTAAGTGCTCTTATTTGAGAAGGATGTGTATTCAGGTATGTAATTGAGTTTTGATAATATCTCTGGCCTGAGCCAGAGGTATGACATACAGGGTGATCCTATCATGGTGGGTGTGTCCCAACAAAAAAATAAAGTATTGAAATTTTAAACGCTACAGACTATTTGCTCAATATTGCTGTAGTGGGAGGGGCATGCGATGCATATATCGCGAAAACTCTAGACGAAGCTGAGTCACGAATAGAGGTCGCACAAAAAGAGCAGGAATCATACTACGATGCGAAACATGAGGAAGGTCGCAGGTATGAAATTGGAGAGCAAATGGGTATCAGGAAATATATTGCTGCCAACGATGGAAATGGTAAAAAGTTACTACCCAAATAGTGAAGCCTACGTAATCACGAAATTTTTAGATCATGATCGAAACGTTATCGTAAATTTGCCAGGCACACGACGCGCACGTGAAGCGTACCACGGTATCTGTACTCCAGATAAGATGAAACCATTCACTGCTGCATACGAAAGCAACATTCACACAGAATCCGACGAGGATGATGATACTCATATAAATGCTAACAACGACCCATCATGAATGGTTGGACGATTGTGATGTGTGCGCAGTTTCCGAGTCGATTCCAGTCCGCTTATAGGGTTATATCATTGTTCATGACTGATAGTTTTTTCTTGAATATTTTGTTTATTCGCCACAAGGAAGGAGATTTCCGAGGACGGAATGATTAGTAGCACGGTCGACTGAAAGGCATCACTCCGTATCATTCTGTTGCTGAGATATTCGACTGACTCATGTTCTGATACATGATTTTTGTGTAACGATCAACGAACGTTAATTATTATCGAATAGGCAGTTGTTAGCGAGTCGTATATGGAATCCGTAACCGTGATGAAACACTTCAATGCGATCAAAAGCTACTCTTTAGGCTCTGATGCTCCCTTTTTCGAAATGTAATAATCCTGTGGAATCCTCCCTATCAAAAGCCTTCGAGATGTCTCTTGATGAACAGATGACGACGAATGCTGATGGAAAGAACTTGATAACGAACGTTCAATCGGGATTCCGCTCACAGCTGCACTAAGTTAATCAACAGATAATATACCGGAATCTCTGCATGATGATTATTCTACCTATCTAATTCTACTCGATTATAGCGAGACTTTCGATACACTCGACCCATTGGTTTCATGCAAGGAAGTCCGGTGCTTTGGCTTCCCTGATACTGCTATATTTATATTAGATAGTTTTTCACCTTATCGTACTCAGAGTGATATCATAGATGATAAAAATAAAAAATCAAATTCCCTCGTTAAACTATTTGACCACGAGACTTTATCATGGAACCACTTCTTTTTGGGCTTTTCATTTGTGTAGATTAGAATTAGAATTCTCAAATTGTTGTTCTATGTGTCTTGCGCGCACAACTGGAAATTGAATCCGAAGTAATCACAAGAAAGGCTTTTTGATCCCAAAAGTGAGTTTCTGTCCATCCGAATCAGCAATGACGTCATTCCCTTCGTGACTGTGACTAGATACCAGTTTCAGGTACAGCAAACAACTCTATCCCAGTAGAGACTCATCATCAAGAAATATGAGGTTGAGCCTTTGCGAATCTACAATTTCCTCTAAATTGGCATACTGTGATACTATTCATGTCCTGCCCTCCTATAATCAGATGCATTACGTCTGCAGATAAATCAGAACAGCTGCATTAGATTTTCTTACGGTATCCCTGAGCTCAACCACATCAGTGCAGCTTCTAAGGATTTGAGTTGACTGATATCAGGTTATTGGAGGAAAAAGCACCTTACCCTAACCCCAAAACATTTTGTATCTTGTTAACCACCCTATCTCCCTAAGAGATTAGTTCTGCTTTCACACAAAAATTCCTCCTTAAAGTTCTTCTTATAATATATCTGAACTTCGAAAAAGACTTAAAGTTATGTTTCTAGCAGAGGGCAGAGCTAAGAATATATATACCGGGTGAACATCTAAGAACGGCCGTCATATCTATCTTTCTTCCAACTTTGATAGTTAATATCGTCCGTTGGCGAGAAGCTATCATGTTGCGATTTTCATTGGTCTCTTGAAATTTGGTTTCTCTATTACATCGAATAATAATATGTTCACCATTATATTTATTCTCAAACTTGTATCATTATTCGTTGCTGAGATATGGCCGACAGCCATTCTCAGTTGTTCACTCTGTACAACGGTTCTATTCTCATCTTGGTCATGATGTACACATTGACATGAGAATTATTATTTTTTCACTTTGTATCCAGGTCATCTTATATAGTTGAATTAATATGTGTGTGGTATGTTCATATTCTTCCGGTTGGGTAGCTCTGTAGCTGACCTACGCCCTCTCATTATATATCATTATTTGTTCCATTTATTCCAATATAGATATTTTATGTATCATCAGTATGCAAATATGTGGATTAGCAATGAAGACATCATCATCCCTAGAGGACTTTCAGTGTGAATTAGGTATTGAACATCTATGGGTATCAGTTAAGGTAGGAAAAATTGCATTCTTGGTTGGTGTTGTATACAGGATAGCCGCATGTAGCTTGTCCAACTTTATAGATTGAATAGAAAATATATTTCCCTTCATCGAACCACAATATGATAATATCATTGTAATGGGGGACATGAATGTGGATCAATTGACAAACTATTCCGTCGTTCAATGTATTGAAGCATATAATTTCTCGCAAATAATTACGGAGCTCACTCGTATAACTAATAATACTCAGACTCTTCTACATAGATGTAATTTTCACAAACGAAAGCGACTTGGTTTTGAATTCAGGTACTATAGAGCATAACTTTTTTGACCACTCTGGTGTATTTTGTGTTATGGATTGATCATATGCTCGCCATATACCCAAACTAATCACGTACAGGATATACAATAATTTTCTAACCGTGAGTTTGATACCGACCTTTCGATGATTTCGTGGGATAATGTTTTGTATCTGAATGACATTGATCAAAAGATTGATTTCTTCACGAACAATGTTATTAATTAATTGGATGTTTATGCTCCATACGTCACTTCTAAAATCATCAAACCATTTGCTCCATTAGTATGATGGAAGTCAGAGAAAAGGCGCTATCTAACTATAAACGTACCAGATGTGCAACAGATTATATTTACTATAAAGATTCACGTAATACGGTAACTACACCTTTTCCAGATGTATTTCAGAAAGCGTCAATTCAATTTCAGAATAGTCACTTGTATTTCAGAAATCGTCAATTG